TTTTTCTCCATAATGGAGAAGGCCAATATAAGTAAAACCCGCATCCTAATCCTGTATTGCATTATAAACATGGTTGAAGAAAAAACTCTCATTGCTATATATACTGTATTCTACTCACCCCTCCTCCCCGTTTATTAGTGATTGCCACATGTATGAACAAGGTACAGTTAGGAATCTCCTCCCCAGTGTTAGAGCATAGTCGAATATGTCTGTAACCTGAAAAAAAAATTCATATGTAATCAATCAATTTGGTTTTTTTTTCAACTTTTAAAAAATAATTCAAATCTGCAATTAAGTTTATATAATTTAAGAAATTTATTTCATCTTAATTTTTTTTAAATTCTGAATATGTAATGTATTCTAAATTTTAAAATCCTAATAATTTAATACATTTTTCTTATACTGATAATTTTTAAAATGTGTTATTCAAACATATGTACCATAAATTTTAAAATGGGTTATTCAACAGAGTGATAATTCTATGATTTTGAGCAATTTCATAAGGAAATCAAATTTTTTATAAGGCATTCAAACAACATTTCCTATTGCAACATTGACAATTACATGAGGTAAAACTTTTATCAAGTCCAGTAAACTGTAATACAAGAACAAACCTGTCTGCATGCATTCAAAAGGAATGGTATACTGTCCAATGAACTCATCACCGATATAATCATCATCTAAAACAGCGAACGGAACCAAAGCCAACTCAGGTAGGTTAATCTGGAACTCAAAACTCTCATCAAATATGGGACTATATCCTACAAGAAAAGATTATACGAAAGTAAAAATAAATGCTTTTATTTATTTTGTAAACAAGAGGAAATTCTATAAGATCTTTTATTGTTTCATATATTACAATATGGGAAGAAATTCAAGATATTGACCCTTAATGTTCAAACTTTGTTAATCTAAGGATGAAATTGCTCTAAACAGGCCTACTAACCATTATGGGGCACAGTTTTGGTCCTTTCTTCTGCACAGTCAGCAGGGATGCCAAAAATCTCTATGGTAACATATGGGTCTGTGACATCACCACGAGCACCAGAACCTTTGGGTTTTGGAAAATGCTGTCCACTGATGACCTACACATGTAAATATGCTGTATTCAGTAATCCAAGTTTTTAAAAAAAAGTACATACTAAGTACATACTAATCCAGAGCAAATCCACAGTCAACCCTCAAAAACTCAAAATCAATGGGACCATAAAAAAATTCGAGATATCCAAGGATTCAAGATATCAAGGGAAAACCCTTAAAGATAAGGGTTGGGACTTCAAAATCACTTCAATATATCCTTGGTATTCGAGATATCAGTGTTTGATATAGGGAGTACAGCTGTGTTTGAGATTTACCTTTATGTGCAGTATTTGAGGTGACACCCCTGGAATGACATCTTTTGTGTTGGCACTGAAGTACGCAATCTCCTCCCTCATTATCGCTGGCTTCAGAATATACCCACAGTTAGCATTACGTCGAAAGAATCCATGGTACAGATCCATCATCAGACCATGGGTTTGATAATTCAAGGCCACTGTAATGAAATGAACATTTCTGCTATTTAAAAAACTATAGAAACTTTACTTTCCAATTAAATTACTTTCTAAATTTCAAATTCCTTAATCACTTTTTAAAACCATTAACGAAAACCAACTCTATAGATGTAACTTGTCAGCAATTGGAAATATTTTTTTTTTCAAAATCCTGTTGTTTGATTGTATATGCATTCCAATCTCAACTCTTTATCATTATATTATTGTTACCCCCCCTTCCCCAATTCAGTAAGTTTAGATTTCAGCACTCACCCATCTGACAGCCACAGTTCCAGAGGTCCTGTGGGTTATAGTTACTGGAGTCCACCCTCATTCCGTTGGGGTAGATACGGGACAGGAACTTCTTATTGTGATTAACAAACTCCTCCGGACAACTCATGGCCAGTTTGATGGCAGTGGATTCACTGAATGAACACATCTCAAAGTATTTCTCTACAATTTATAATACTTGAGGAGTTAGGAAATTAATTACATGGAGACTTTTTCGTCCTTTACTTTTTCTGTAATATCATGCACTTTATATATTTCATCCACACCAAATGATAATAATTTTATAACTTGTTATCCCCTTGCAACAGAGTTGGTGCGGATACAGTAAGGCTTTTGGATGTTTGTGTTTGTTTGTGTGAATGTATCATTGTACAAAATAGAATTTACAAAATCTACATTAGGATTTATGTCTGATGCTGCCTTGATTCATAGATGTATGCTATTTATACCCTCTTTGCAATGCCCTTGTTTCATTTGGAAAACACCAGTCTTATATTTAGTGAAACTTATTGTACAAATACCTGTATGTAAATTCCAGTTTATATATGTACTTACGATTTGTTTGGGACAGTTGGAAGTCTTGGAATCTAGTGGACACACAGTAGTTAACCAAGTCAGACAACTCCTTAGCCAGTTTGTGCTTCTTTACTGGGTGATCCTGTAATAAATAACTTAGATCAGTCCAATGAACTTTAAATTAACTTTTCTATAATAAACAATGTTATTTTAAAACATTTCAAAGTTCTATGAAAATTTCTGCTTTATTTGCCCTGCTTTCCTAAAGAAAAGCAATAACATTAGTCCTAGACATTAAAAACCCTCTTCATGATCAATGTTAATATACTATACAAGCTTCAGCACATAAAATGTGTAGAAACCTTGGTTTTGTTGTTTTTCTTCTTGTCTGACTCCGCCCCTTCGTCCTCGTCAGTTACGTACCCGTCCTCAGAGTTAGGAGGCAGCTTCTTACCCTGTATCAGTAAAATCAAACTCAGCATCATCTTGGATTCATAACTGGTGTACATATATATATATATAAAAATGTGAAATCTATAAGCTTTTGCTGTGAGGCGTATCACATAAATTTCATCACTAAAAGAAAATATAATTGTGGAATTCGTAACTGGGGTATACAAATGCTCAACAAATCTATAAACTTTGCTTTGAGGTACATCATATAAACCTAATTGCTCAAAAAAATCTTGGATTAATAACTGTTGTATATATTTAATATGAATGTACAACCAATCTACAAACCTTGCCCCGTATCATGTACTTTAAAGTGAAATCATATGTTCTATGTTACCTTGATAAGTATTTTTCCTCTGAGAGCGTCTGGTGAGGGGAGACAAGTCTCGTTCTCTGGGACCGTCTCAGAACACAGCTTGTCCCCGAAGATCTCGATCATGTATTCCGCCATGGCCTGCTGCTGCTTGATATTACAATGGTTTTCTATTGACAATATCACAGGGTACCTTGAAAAAAAAAATCAACACACACTCTTTACTACTTTTTCTCTAGCTCTATTGTTTTAAAAAGCTTGCCATTGTCTTCCATTTCAAAGAATATTCACCATATGTTGATTGTTACTTCATTAACGCAAATCAATTAATGACCACCCTATATATGATAAAAATCTAAAGGCAAACTAAAACATCTGTTCTTCAAATTCTTAAGTACCTTAGCTTGTCGTAAAAACAGAGATTTTTTTTCCCCTTTTACTACTTTCTTTTATATTATCATTAAGAAGATCAAGATTGCAATGCTCGTTTATTTTTGGCCTCCCTTTAGTTCATTTTCTCCATTCTCTAAGTAACTTGAAAAGAAGATGACTGATATTTTTTTAAATGAGAACTTACTCAGAGGTTTCAAATGCATAAGTATTAATGGCTTCAATAACGGCCTTGAACTGTATCTTTGAGGTGAAAGTATGTCCGTGGTAAATGATGGGGTCATCGTTTGGTCCATCCCAGCAATCCACTGAAAAGAAATAACACAAATAATCTTCACATTGTGACTTCATTTGATTACATAAATGTCATACAATATATGCTCTGTATCAAATCCCTACCTTCCAATACGACATGTTCAGTTATATCAAATGTGTACGTTACTTTGTTTCTAAGCACTTCAGAAATGCACTTGCATTTACATTGTGATTTATTTTGACAACAAGCATGTCACACAATACATGCACTTTATCAAATCCCTACCTTTCCACAAGATGCATGTGTTCAGATGTATCTAATACATGTATGTATGTACTTTATTTTATTTAACACTTCTGCACTTTGAAATACTGTAAAGAATGTTTACACCTTTAAAAAAAGCTTCCTTCCTTAATGACAATATTTGTTCTTTGCATGTTCAGAAAACACACAGAGATATTACAAATGCAACTCTATACCACAGTAGATGATATGGCTATATGCTTACAACTGACATCAATAAGTGCAAAAAGGGCATTCCAATAAAAAAAAATAAGAACTTATTTGAATGAGTTTAAGTAAAATGTGTCCATATATCTCTTGGGCAGACCACTAATTACTTTTTTAAATGTAGCTTACAAACAGTTGCACTACTTCTAGGCAATTATAATTAGGAAAATTGATTTTTATACTGATCAGGAGAAAGAATGTATTTTCTAACAAAAAAGAAACTTGTGTTTGCAGGGGAAACTGTATGATGTGACTTGTGCCATACAATTAATCTGCTATTACCCCTAACATTTCTTATGATAATAACATAGATCTGTAATGATTAGACCCCCAGAATGAACTTTCTGTCACTGCCTTTATACATCTGAAAGATAGATTTCACACTCCAATTCCCAAAATAACACCGGGCACTGCCTGAATCAACATTGGAACCTATAGGTGAGGTACAAGGTTTGCCCTATATTTCTGTTTTTCTGGGGAGTACTGTAAACATCAGTTAGAAAAAATACTCTCTGCATGAATTTATGTAACAGTACACTGATAAATATATATACCTATGCATGCCATTGCTCTAAACAATGAGTGTTTATATGCACTGTAAGTGCATGAACTCTGAATTGCCAGCTAGATTATTGCAAGGAACACAATAGTATTCACTTCCAAAGCAACATTCAAGACTGTTTTAAAATTGATGTTATTTTTCCAATAAAATTGAAAAGAATGTAAAGGATTCTTTGATAGTGAAAGATAAAGGTCATGGTCGCACATCTGATCATTAAACTCTGACTATTTTTAGCGATTTAGTACATAGTAATACCATTTTATTTTTTAGCCATTCTGCCAAAAGTCTTGAAAATATAAACTTCATTATTTTTAACTATACATACAAAGTGCATATCTATTTTTTTAAGTTGCATTTAAATAAATGTGTCGTTTCAGGACTACCGGTGTCATATATAATATATTGAACCCCGCGATTGAACCCGGGTTCAAAATCTCGCTGTGAAATTTCCGTGGTATTGAACCCGGGGTTCAAAATTATGGCCATAAAATATTGAGTAACCCTGCCCTTTAAATTTAATCTTTCACATTTATGGCCATAAAATATTGTGTCCTTTAAATTTAAGACATAAATGCTGTTATTATGGCAATATAATATCCAGTCCCCTGCCCTTTAAACTTTACACAACTTTTACCGGGATGGGGTTTCAAAATATTATGGCCAAAAAAAATTTAACCCCCCACCCAGTAAAATTAAAAGGGCAGGGGGACTTGATATATTATGGCCATCTGATACCCTCTTAAATGATAAAAGGGCAGGGGGACTTCGATATGTTTATGGCCATAATATTTTGTGCTTTATATTAAATTAAAAGGGTAGGGGACTCGATATTTTATGGCCAATAACACAAAAATGAAGCAATTCCTTCTTAAATTAAAAGGGTACAAATAATATATTATGTTCATAATATTTTGAACTCTCTTAAATTAAAAGGGCAGGGGGACTCAATATTTTATGGCCATAATATTTTGAATTTGTAAATTAAATAGTAATATTTTATGGCCATAATACAAACAGTTCGCAACTGTCATATCTTTTTTATTTGACGTCATATGTTATCCAAATTTGATTTTTAACAATGAATCAAATGATATGTATTAATTTTGACAAAATATTACGATTGATCAAAAACTTATCCAGATTTTAAAAATGCAAAAATCGGATCGCGGAGCAGGTCAAAATTTAGTCAGTTACAGACAATACAATAAATAATGTCTATAGTCATATTCTATGTAACATGGAGGAAAAACGAAAAACTACCTAGAAATTCAAATTAAGAATGGTTACATCGATACTTGTACCAAATTATGGTGTTATATTTTGCTTTGTTGAAAAGAAATCAACTTGAGATGATAAGTAGTCCTAATTGAAAACGACAAAAACAATGACGTTTTAGAACGTCACGGAACAGCAGATATCGAAGCAATTTTGTGTTTTTCTCAGGAAAAATCCTGAATAAACTCTAAAAATGTTGAAGGAATTAAGAAAATATGTCACAAGCGAGTTGTGCATGTGTGCACAAATAGTACAGGGAATATTTGAGTGACAGAGACTCTGTATCGGATGAGGACGACCTGTGAAGAAACGGTTTTACTGTAAACATCTGAACAAAACTTTAAAATTTGAAACGTAAATGAAAGACAAAGGCGCTTCAGAGTTTCTTATCCTGTGAAAGCAGAGTTAAATATTAAAAGAAATTAAAACCTTAACAAAGGAAATTATACACTGAGATCAATTCTTAAAAAATAAATGTCAAGTATTAGAAAAAGAATTTAAATAATGGGCATTGGAATATTCTGTGTGAAATATAAAGGTATAGTATCTATTATAAATTTTCGACGCTATATGTTGACGTTACATTGCCGTTTAGTGTGCTCCGCGGGTAAAAAACATGTTGATTTTAAAATGAAGTAAATTTATTTGTGTTAAATATATAAACTTCACACATCAACAAAACAAATTTTTTACATATTATAATGTGCTTGTTTTAAATTTCCATGAGTAATATAACAAGATGGACATTGTCCACGAACTTTTCGAACAACCCTCGATATAACATATTCCCTGTAAAATTAAATGGGCAGGGGAATAATATATTATGGCATAGGAACCCCCTACCTCTTAAATAAAAAGGTAGGGGTTCAATTTTTATAAGGGGGTTCAATATATTGCAAAACCCGGGTTCAAAATATTATGCGATATTTTGAACCCGGGTTCAATATATCGCGGTATCAAAATATTATGCTACACCGGTATGTGTTAATTAGTGTCCACTTCTTTCACTTTTCTTTTCAGTAGTTCTTGCAAACTTTAACCGAATCTGAAAATTGGCTTTAAATGCTGAAATAACACACTTAACACAAATATAAGATTTATAAATACATTAGATACACTTACCGGCATTGCTAAACAATCCATTTCACTTAAGTCAGATCTAACTTTCATGAGGTTTTTGAATGACGTCACTATATTGTTCTCATCTCTTCTTGATAACATTTTAAACTGCAGGATTTCAAAATTTTCATTTTACATTTTTACATTACTAATTTTTCAAACTCTAAAATTCTTGATGAATGAAAACTTTGAAATGTACAGCAATTCCTGGTCTGGAACTTTTCATCATTAAACTCTGTACAATTTTTAGAATATCGTTCTCATAATAAAAGTTTACAGATAATTTTACAATATTTTTTAGCCTGAAAATCACATCACTGAGTATAAAATATTACTTCATTATTAACAATATATATAAGAATATCATAATTTTAGAAATATGCTTTAGTGTTTTGGTACATATATCATCATTTTTCATTTACATGTGTGACAATATGTGAAAACCCTGGGGATATCTAAAAAATATTAAGCTACATAAATGTGAACCTTTCAGAAAGACTTTCATTTCTTGGCATATTAGAAAATTGACATAATTTATGCTTCATTTACAACCAAAAATAAGGTCAAAAATAAATACCAATCCATGCATCTTTTTTATGTTGTACCATGTGTCCTTAAATAACAATTACATATATCAATCCTCCATCTATTTATCCTAGTATAGTTAACTTGTCTACCCCATTTCATCGAAATCGATTCAAAATTTGGAGTAACATTTTGAATAAAGTTCATAGAAATTCTAAGTTACTATAGCAACAGTTTTCATCAAAACCTAAGTTATATCTTATCACTTATTTTAAATGTAAAAGATCACATTTTCAGTGACTCTTTTACCAGGTAAAAGAAACATAGTTTAAAAATAAAAAAAGAATGGCATTATTCCTTTCCTTTAAAGTGTTTAAAGGTCAAGTTCAAGGTCACTATACCACATAATGTCTACAAATATGCTGAATATCAAACCATGACCTTTTTTAATTTCATAGATGTTAGGAATTTCTTTTTGTAAAAGGGTCAAAAGGATTTGTTCCATAGCACATGGTCAATGACTAATGTATTTTTAAAAAGGTCATAAAAGTTAAGAAAAAAGTCAAGCTTATTGCTTTGTACAACAAACAACCCTTATCCTTTGCTTCTTACATGTTCATAAGGAAATGAATGTGACAGACGGACAAACAGACAGATAAACAGTAACCAAAGTGCTGCTCTGCACTACAGGCAAAATTAAAGCAACCTCCCATAATAGTTATAATCTACTTATCATGTGTAAAGTGACTGTAAATATAGCCCACCATAATAGCATTTACCATTCATACATGTTTAACATTGCAAAGATGTAACTACACTCCAGCTATGTAGTGATATAGCTATAAAAATACCAACAGTATTTTATCTCTATACAGAATGTAACAATTATCATTAACAGTTCCCCACCACTTATTAATGATAAGTATAATTTTGTCCTCATAACAACTTTCATTTCCCAAGATTTCAAAGTAACAAAGTGCCTGCATACTAGTAATTCTGGCCTTTGAAACATTTTTTCTGATATTCTCTCTTTCTTGCTCTCTTTCTCCAGTTTAACTTAACCGATATTCCTATATATTTAAGACATGCAGATAAAGATCCACACTTAATGGGCCTCTGTCTGTCACTCTAACAGAATTAACTACTGATATTCCAAGAAGCTATGGCTGACAGTAAATGTACATACATCAGATTCTATACCTGACGGGCCACCCACACTTTACGCCTTTGTATGTTATAAACTACTCACATTCCATATTGCAGCATAATATGGTAATGGTACACATCTAAGCTTATATCTTATAGTAATGGGACATTTCTAAACTAACATCTCATGGTTATGGCACATATCTAAGCTTAATATTTTATTGTAATGGCACATATCTAAGCTTACCATTTTATGTAACATTTTAACATTTTATGGTAATGGCATATATCTTATAGCACACATCTAACATTTTAGTGGTAATTTCTAAAATTACATCTTATGGTAATGGCACATATCTAAGCTTAACATTTTATGGTAACAGTACATATCTAAGCTTAACATTTCATTGTAATGGCACATATTTAAGCTTAACATTTTATGGTAACGGCACATATCTAAGCTTAACATTTTATGGTAATGGCATATATCTAAGCTGCCACACATGATGCCCAGTTTTCTCACTAGGAATGTATATAATCTATATAATACTTACGTTCCATACACCAACATCCTTTGGTAAGGGCACGTATATAAGCCTCCACACTAGATGGGCCTTGTAACTGGTCTTTCATTAGATAACTGAAACCAATAAAAAGAATGAGTTAAATAAGTACTCCTTTGGGCATCAGGCCAGGTCTCCAGTTTTTCTTTGTTTCATTAGGAAATCAATTCAAAGAAAGTGGTCATTCATATTTTTTAGCCTTTAAATTTCATATAAATGATATTGATAAAAATTTTTCTAACAAATAAATCAAAATCTGGATTGATGGATATTTCAGACTCATGGACATTGGCAATTGCTCTCAAATATCACACGCGGAATTTTTCAAACCCTCAATTGGACATAGACATATTTCTTTTAATATGTGAGGAAAAAAATCTCTGGACATCTAAATAACAGGACCGGGATATAATTCTTATCTTTCATAGACATTAAGTCTTTATCTGAGTAATATGTCATCATTCTACGTCTATTAAAACCATACCACAAAGTCAACACATCAGAATTTGTAATGATTTCCCTATAGAGAAGCTTACAAAAAAAACCAAATTCTTGCTTATTTCCTTATTCAGAGTCTAATCACCATCTTCTCTATGTTCTTTTGGAGAAAAGCAAACCTAATTCCTCATCAAGCAAACAAGCCTTTCTCTTCTAGGACCAAGAAGCATCTTTCATCCTTAACAAGGCACTGGGCTAGCGACAGAGTCGAATCAAAATATATAGGAGCTGATTTGGGGGGCCCTTGTACTTACGTATTGTGTGAGCTGGCAATGTAGTAATGGCTCAGAGGCTGGTTCATGTCCTCACAAATTTTGTTCTGGTCGGGATCAAATATATCACATTCCTCCGACAACAAATAATCTGTGAATTCTGCAAATGATCCCAAATAAATTCAATCACTGCCTGATTGGAGACACAAATTAACGTAAAAGGTTGTCTGATGGTATGATGGCTAAGTGCATACATGCAAGGATCTTTTTAGTGGGATGAATTTACAGTCCATAGAAAAAAAGCTGATTAATAATATACATTGAATAATATTCTTATAGCAAAAAATACAGTGAAATGTAGTAAAGGCATTTATTTCTCCAGTAGTATTTAAGCCATTCAATATAATACAAAATTAAGGGCAAAAAGTTTTAACTGGTATTTACTGTTGAACATTGGTATATTGAACACTGATATCACATATCAAATCCCTGGCCAGAACTGTTTCTTTATGTACCATGGTTTCATCATTTTTCGTTGGCATCAATTTTTGTGGATTTTGTAAAACAGACGTTTTCAGGGATACATGATTTCGTGAATAAAAGCATTGCCTATACAAATGAATATCATATTTATTAATTCAATGAACATTTAATTTGTGGATCTGATCAACAACGAAATCCTTCAAAATTGGTGCTCAATGAATATTGATGAAACCACAGTACTTTAATTCCACTATGTTAAAACCTTGGATATCTTGAACTTTTTTCTTGGCGCAATTGAGTTCAAGACTTTTAAGACTGTTTATTAATTTCCATAAATATTTATTCCTGTCAAAACTATCCATCAAATCAAATCAGATCAAACCATTTAAATTTTAATTATCTCTTCAGTTAATTTGTTTTTTAAAGCAATATAAACTGCATGTTTGACATCGGAAAAAAATATTTCAAATTTGTAATTAACTTTTCAATGACAGGAAAATAGAAAGTTTATAAACTTCTGTTGTTCATATTTGCTATGGAAGAACTTTTTATAAGCTTTGATTGAAGCAAAATTGAATTATTGTCATCCTGTACAATAATGATTTCTTATATAACGCTGTAATTTGGTTGTACAGAAATATTTCTTCTGAACTTTTTAAAAACTTTATTCTGATCTTTATGGTCATAAAGGTTTAGATTGCATACATATTAATCATTATTATAACACATTTTACCAGGAAAATAAAATTCTCAAAAATACCGCTCATATTGCTTTAAAATGTAGATATTCAGGGAAATAAAGGTATCTTTTTTTCAACTTCTTTTTCAATATTTTTTACCCTAATTTGCAAATATTCGATTTTTATGAAATGAAGATGTATGATAGATAGACATCAAGAGCATGCTAATGGAAATGACCCCCATCTGACCCCCACCACACCCCAATCATCCTATCCCTAATTCTGTTTTCTGCAATGGATAATTATACCCTCTTTATATTTTCTGAAATAGCTATACTCCACTACATATATAATATAACATGTAATAAACAGTCAGGCTAAACACCACTAAATACATATATAATTTAACTTGTAATTGACAGTCATTTCCTGTTCTTTCCATTAAATCACCATCTATTCCTAACTGCCCTTTTTTCCTCCCGTCTTTCGAGGGTTCAAACCTATTGACTATATCTATACATTTGTCTTTCGTAACTCTTTGCATCTGAAAATTAAGTCAAACAAAACAAGATGTTCACGTTATAAGCCATGATTTATTTTTCCCTAATTAAGGTCAATGTATCATAATGGTTAAAAAAAACACTAATGATATTCATTAAGCCTACATACTACAGAGAAATTCTGTAGTAAATATCAAGTCCTTGACAAATTATACAACTGCAAAGCGAAATTCTGCTGTCCATTCACATTGAAACTTGTGATGACCCATGGAAGATTACTCCTTTGTGGCTGATTTGCAATGCAGATTCCCTCATTTTTAACCACTGTCTCACAAATCAAGAATTCATACATGTACAATGTACTCAGTATTACATTAACTGAATAATCTTGTTTTCTTTGGTTGTTAAGGAATAAAAATTGTAGATCATTCACAAATGGGTTCATGAAGAAATAGCATGTTTTTTTTAATTTTTTCTGAGGGAAATTGAAAATTTTACCGGACATCTCTACCCCCCCTTCCTCCTTATACTGCAGCTTTTTCAGCAGCAATTATAAGATAATAAATTTTTCCTTCTCTTAATTTAACATTATTTTGATTGATGGCCGCAGCAGAATTTTATACAGAAAGATCCCACAATGCCTTGTAATGAAATTAATTCCAATTCAGTTCACAGTTTTGGGAATTCTTTATTGAAGCGGAATCCACCGGCAATTAATTTTCCAAAAAAGGTAGCTGGAACTTAACCATAGTGCTTCAAAACAGTAAATTAAAATCAATTTTAAATAAAAGAAGTCTGCAAATTACAGCTCAAAAATACACGTATATTTTTAACAAAGATCAAAGTAAAATGATGAAGAAAAGGTAAAGCAATGTTTCTATTTTTATCCATTGGCTGGAATTTCATTACAATTTATTTTAACACCATTGACTTCAGCTTCATCAGACACTTCCTAGTGATGCCAAGTTAATGGATTTTTCAGTCTTTTGCTGAAAACAATGTCGAAATCTTTCCACAGTCTACCTAATGATTCAATTTCTCTCAATTTGCCTCCAACTATTGAGGGAGTAGAGACAAACTATCACCAAGAGATCCATATTCTGGTGTTAAATCTGATTTTTTTTAAAAATGAATTTTCACAAGACTTATATCTGAAAAACAGCTGCTGCAAAATTGACGAAAACGGGTTCAATAGTTTAAATGTACTTGATCATACTGGAACCTCAGTCATACCATAGACTTAAAAACATCATGATTAGCATGACAAAATGACCTGATTAGAACACTGGGCAATCCTACGTAGTATGTAAATGTAAACTCCTCTTACCCCTTGCTATGCTTCTAAAAATAGAGGTAGGTCATCTGTGGTGAGGTAGCCTGTATAACTGTCATATCTACAACATAGTCCTCAAAATATTATATACTTCATGCCATACCTATATATGACATTCCTTAGTCATAACATATCTAAACAATATAGCACTAAAATATTGTAATCCTTATGGCATATCTATATAATATATAGCACCAAAATATCTCATATAAATATAGTAAATATAGTGCTATAAAATCTAGCTTAAAATATTTTATCAACATTGAAGTAATATGTAATATATATAGCTAAAATATCATATTCTTCATGGCTTATCAACACTGAAGTAATGATAAAATATCATATTCTTCATGGCTTATCAACACTGAAGTAATGATGGCAATATATACATGTACATGTTACATTATCTTGCTTCATTAACTTAAATTAAAAATCATTTGCTTATGCGCAAGAAAGGTGTGTGGCATCAATGTTCAACTTTTCTTCCAAGGGGAGGGGGGGGGGGGTGATTGGTTTTTTTAATGTTCCTTCCATTTAATAATAAAAATCAAATTATGTAATTTATAATGATTGAATGATTCTTAAATCTTAATTTCCAATAGATCTAAATGCCCTGCAATTTTAACATTTGTCGTGAATTTCTGCTTCATTAAGCTTGAACCCTAAAGGTAACTTTGTTTCTAAGAATCTAATTAAATGATAACCATGTCTGAGCTACCATTTCTTTATTGATCCAACCATCCCAAAGGCCCAATAGAACATCCATGGTCCAAACACTATCATGCCTTTTATGAGCGTGATAAGGCTTTTAATAGCTCACATTGCCCAATGGCTCAATAAGCAGCATAAAGTAAAAAGATCTAATGTGTTAATCAATCATCAGCAATTAGTTCAGCAATCACTATCTCTTATTTCAAGTAAGCTTTTCTATATAAAGAAAAATCTGAAACAGTAAAGATGCTTAAATATCTATACTTATTATAAATAATTTGGCTGGGACTTAATTAAGCTGCAAAATGAAAAGTGAAAATCCAAATATTACGTAACAAATGTGGACATGTGTTGATATTTAGAGAAGTGGACAGACTTTCGCCTACATCCAGGATGTAGAAGAATCTAGTCATTCACTTTTCTAAAAAGAATAAGGTGTGGATAGTGAAGGTAACAGCAAAGAATTTAGCATCCATACACTTTTCAACATGATAACTAAACAGTTTCCTTTTTCAAGCTTTTTTGTGTTCTACAGTAGCACTAACTGTTACCATATCTCTCCCTGATATATGTACCAGGTACCTACCGTACTAATAGGAAGTATATTTCATGTCGAGTTGAAACATCCTTAAAAAGGCTGATGAATTCTTCACTGTTCAACCTCCCTCTCACAGCAGAATCAACTCTGTTTAGTTCAATTTCCTGCCAAAGACAAATATCAATTATATACCGGGGTATCACTAAAATACAAAATTTATGTTATGTTAATGAAAATTAAATGAGTCACTGTGCCAATGTCCAGTACAATTAACTCATTTACAAATCTGTGCTCTTAAATCCTGGAAAAGAAATTTAATGCAGGAATATTTTTTCTAGCAATTTCAAAGAAATTGGATTCAAATGCAAAATATCCCTCTAACAAGAGGCCCATGTAAATATCTATAAGCACTGTGGCTAGGAAAAAACAGAATTGGTTTATAATTGAAAACCTTAAATCCAAAAGTAGACCAAAACCAATCATGGTTTTGCTATTCTTGAGAAGATGATTTTAAAAGAATTTTCCTATGTCTATGTAAAAATTTGGTCGGCCATTGTGGCCCCGCCCTACCCCCAGGGGCCATGTTTGAATATCCAAACTTGCTTAATGTACTTATAACAATGCTTCCATATAAATATGATCAATTATGGCTTTGCTATTCTTTAGAAGAAGATTTTTAAAGAATTTTCCTATATATTTCTATGTAAAACTTTGGTTGGCCATTGTGGCCCCGCCCTACCCCCGGGGGTTAAATTATAACTACCTTTCCATATAAATATGATCAATTATGGCTTTGCTATTCTTGAGAAGAGTTTTTAAAGAATTTTCAACATTTCTTATAAAACTTTGTCCATTGTGGCCCCGCCCTAGCTGGAGTTAATTATCTACACTACCTGAAGATGTTTCCCCATAAGTTTCATCTTTCCTGGCACAGTGGTTCTTGAGAAGAAGATTTTTAAAACATAAACAAATTTTCATTAAAAAGCATGTGAAATGAGGGTGTGGCCCTTCAGGAACAAACTTGAATCCCCTTCACCCAAGGATTCTTGTGGCAAGTTTGTTTTGATTCAAAGAAGTTGAAAATGTGAAAAGTTTACATAAAGACAAAATGTGACAGAAAAGCTACTTAGCCTTAAGGATGCATAAACATGCACAGAGCTCTCCAGCAAGTAATTTTTGAAATAGCCTTGGTGATTTCTTAAAAATGTTAGCCTCTTTAGAAAGTTTTTTATTACACTTTCAGGACCGCTAGCTATAGAAATAATATATCGTGACTATTAAGTTCAGTAAGAGGACATGCAGCAGTCATGAAAAAGACTAAAAAGCATGTGAAATGCATGACACAGGAAAGAATTAAGCTAACTTCCAAGGTTCCTGTTTGACCAAGGTTGGGCAAAACGGAAATTACAAATATCTATTAAGGATGCAAAACACACCAGTCCTATAATAGATGGAAACTGTATAATAAACTTCTTTTAAATTGCAATTCAGCACAAAAAGCACTTTCATCTAAAGTCAATGTAAAATATTTTGATATGCTCATTAAAACAGATTACTATGCCAGCCTATACAAGTATATAGACCACATGTAGTATGTTGCATATATAAAATGTCAGTAACAACAACGAACAATTCATTTTTGCAACAAAGAGCACTTTTTAAAAATGTTTTTCAAGATAAACAAATCTTTTCACAAGATGTATTTTGAAGAAAAATTCAAGCATCCAACACATGAATGGGAAAAAAACTTTAATCAGATTGGAACATCTCAAATGTCACCCGATGTCAATATGATATTCTAGGAAATATGCATCATGCGGAAGAACGCAGATAAACCCTTGAAATGTTTTATCATAGGGAAACCTATAAAAAGCTTCTCATTTCTTTCTACATTGTTAAAGTATCAGTATATGGAGAGAATCAGAAAACTCGCAGAGGACAATTGATATGCTTTATGCAAGGCATATATGCCTGGAATTTATGCAAGAAGATTGACTTCTGGAAGAATTTCTGGGCTAATTCAAGATATATCCCCCTTAATCTTAGTTGTACTTCACTTGAAAATCAGCTTGATGAATATTCAAACTTATGTGCTAAATTATGGATTTCAGGACAAATTCCATTTTACCTTTGACCTCATACCATGCATACATACACTTCCTTTATAATGACCAATTTTTAGATCTTCCTTCATCAATATAGTAATCAAAGAGATATTGACACTACCAAAGGACTCCATTAAGAATTTTATAAAAGACTATTAATAAATATATAAATTTCTTAGAGAGTGAAATAATGCAATTTAGAGAAAATTGGTATTATGCATTATCATCAACATATTTGTGCTTATAATGATAAAAAAACCTGAATTATATCATGTAAAAACAATTCTTTTTCATTTAATCAACAATATACTTTTATCAAATAAATATATGTCTTTTATTATTCCTTCATACAATTATTCTAAAGACTTGTATTTACTTGCAAGTTATATGTTGAAGAATCTATACACTGGATTAATCTTATCTTCT